GACTTACTAGTGTTTGCCGGGGACAAGAAGGTTGGCGACAATATCCCCTCAGAGGTGGCTAACGCTAGTGTCCTTCAACCCTTCATCACCAGAATGAGTCTTTTAGATTCCCGTCCGCTGCCAGCAGTGGACGCCCTACGTGATGAAGTGGAGGCCGTGTTTTTGAAGAACAAGAGAGGTGAAACCCCTGAAGACAAACCGGATGTCATCGACATCGGATGGCAAATCAGGAAAATGTTGACCTTCCTGAAAATGAAAGTTCGTAGACGAGAAGTTTCTTCAGCGCCTTATCTCATTTTAAATGGACTTGAAACAAAAAAATAAGAGCGATATATATATATATATATTTATTATTTATATATATGCCATGGTACATGCATGTCAGTTCATCCTGTTGCCTTATCGGAGTTCCTGTTTGAAAGGGGATGGGTTGGGATGGGGACTATGTCACTTTCCAATCCAAGGTGCCGGCGTTTCAGCAAATGTGCTTGATGTTGAATCCCGAACTCCAGGACTGGGGTTGTATTCAGTGTGACTCCAACATGTTGTTTGTATTTTTGGCACTAAAACCCATAGACAAAGAACAATTTGGACCGTATAGTTGTAGCCAGGTCTTGTTTCAGGCTGTGATATGCCAAATCTCATCCCACTACTTTTCAGGCAGACGTGGACAAAGTCAACGCCAAGATTGCAGAGCGCAAGGCCCGGAGGGCTGCTGCAGCTGGTGCAGCTGCTTCGGATGCTGAGGACCAATCTTTGTTCGAACCTTCCAACTCTCTCTTGATTTGTTCAAATATATACAGTATTTTAATATCTCAGAAATTTCTAGGAGGTAAGTGCAATCCGGAGAGAACAGCAAAATAACAATGCTTCAAAGTCAGAAGCGGTTGGCAGGATTCTTCGAGCAGTGATTCCCGTGCAGACTCTGAAGCTACAACTTCTGATGCAGAGGCAGCAGAGGCACCCGAGGTGAAAGCAAAGGAGAATGAAGCACCCAAAAATGCCAAAGGAAATGTGGTTCCACAGGTCATGCAAAAGGTAGATGGAGCACCCAGTGGAGAGAAGAAACCCAGTCATGAAGTAAAGGATGAAAAGGGAGGTGGTAAGACGGATGACCATGCCGAAAACAAGAACCATGTGAATTCAAAGCCTGTGGAACCTTCCCATGATGAAAGCAGCACCTTTGATTGCATTTTCATATATTTCATTTTGTTCTATTTGCAATTGATTTTCTGGTTTTTCTAGGTGTCCAGTATGATTTCCATAGTTTCAAGTCTTAACGGCATGAGGGGTCACATTGGGTACATGTTTGAGCTACGATATCTTAAGGTAAGATTGTGGAGCTCAAGAAAAAGAAGGATGAGCTTATGGCGAAGTTGGAAGCGTGTTCAGTCGGCAAATATGAGGGAGGGCTGCAGTTCACGGTTTATGTTCTATCGTGTTCTATATTTATATAGTATAAATGAATCAACGGGACTCTTCACAATGTACTAGCTCACATTCATGCACACATGCGTTTCGAAACTGCTTGAAATCATTTGATAAAATGATAAGAGGTTATATAGTTTCAAATTTATGCTGACTGCCTTTTTGTGACATCCAAGGCTTCGAGCATCGAGGTCAAGCTCTTCAAATGGCGCAGGGGGAAGTGCTATGGCAAGCCCAGCAGCATCAGGATACGGGCAACATATGTTCTCATAATTGTTCATCTATTTGGACAGTTTATCATATATATATATATAGTTACTATATAGTTTATCGACATTTTCAAAAACCGTCACACAATGAAAACAAAACAAATAATAAGGGTTTGGCTTATGACTGTTAATCATTTGTTGTTTGCAGGAGGGTCGCAAAAAACACCTGGAGTGGCGTCCGATCAGATTGAGACACAACCTATGGATGTTTTGGTTTTGGAACCACCGCCTGAGCCCGTCAACCTGATTTCACCGGAGCACTCAGCCGTTGCTAAACGTGAGACGTTTCAAGCAAAAAAAATGTAAAGGAGCCCAAAGTTAGTGAGAAGGAATCAGCAGCAGAAGCTAAGAAACCAGTGGCCACACCCCAGCAAAAAGTGAAGGTCCTGCCTGTGATGATCCCGGACAAGAAGAAAGCCGCTGAATTCACAGAAAGTGATGAGGCCATAATACACGATGCGGGATGCATATCTTTGTTCGCACGATATCACATGTGGGGAAGTAAACATTTCACTTGTCGTAATGTTGCTATATATACATCACTAAAGTTTCGTGCTGGGATATGTTTTAGTTTTACTTTTGGTGTGGTTTGGTCATAACTGGCTTTACTGGCAGTTGTACTGGTATGTTCAAACTGTCTCCGCCAGGAATCGGCTGCAGCACCCACGACAAGGATTGACCAGTTGAAAATGAAACAGAAGAATGAGAAGCAGATGGACGACAATCAGCCAGGAAGCTCTAAGGACAAACCGAAGGGACCACAAGCAAGAGGGAGAGGATTAGGCAGAGGCCGCGGCAGGGGAAGAGGCAAAGCAAATGTAGAGCAGAAACAGCATGACAATGACTGTGAAACAGAAACAGCAGCATCAGCACCAAAGATCACTTCTAAGACCAAGAAAGCTGAGCCAGCTGATGCTGATTGGGCAGCATGGGGAACAGAGGGCGCATGGAGCCAAGGTTGGACAGATGGTTGGGACAAGGAGGCGTGGGCATGGGATAGCTGTGCGTATTGGGAGGCAGAGATCGCAGCATATGAACTCGAACAGCAACAGCAAGCTGAGCATGATGCAAAGAGCAAGATCAGACAAGAGCACAAAACACGCAAGGCAAGCAATAGCACAAAGAAGATTGCAGAAGCAGAAGAAGTGCCGAAGAAAAAGAAAAAAACAGAGGTCAGAGCTGTTAGCAAGAAGGCCAAAAGTAGGGAGAAGGATGTGGAGGTGGAAACACCACAGATTCCTGCGAAGAAGTCTAGACATGGAGAAGAAAAGAATGCAAAGAAAGGCAAGGATCACAGACAGGAGGAAAGGCATGCAGAGGAAAGGACAACCAAGAGACAGAAAAGGAGGCAGGCTGCACAGCCAACGGCAGCCCCAGAGCCAATTGCAGAGGCAGCACCCACAGAGCCAGCAGCACCCGAGACAGCAGCCCCAGAGGATCGTGAAGTTGAATTGAATGTCAAATTTACGAAAGTTCTTACGTTCTTGGAAGGGTTCACCAGTTTGAGCCCCAAAGACTCACTGACTTTGATGCGGGGGAGGTTGTTGTCTTTCCACCGATGCCGGATGAATGTTTACTGGAACAGGTATGCAGTGGGATTACATCACCGGAAGCAGAAGGTTGACTTTGCTTACTTCAAGTTCTACTCTGACCCAAACTTTGGTTCCCTACCGTCCCACTACTTGATGGCAGCAGCAATGAAAGCAGCAGAAATGCTAGCAACTTGTTTGTCGTGTTCATGTTTGTAAAAGTTTAGGTTTGTGAAACCAATTAAAAAATCCAGCCCAAGCCTTCGTAGTCCTAAAGGATGTCATGGGTGTACAAACATATGTGGATTTTGAAGACACCCAAAGATAAGGAAACATTATATGTTGAATGTTTTTGTTCTAAGCCGCAGTTCAATGTTGATTATATACATGGTATGCGCCATGGTTGAATGCTCGGGCACGCTTCATCGACAAGAAGGAGGCAGCTGAGCAGGAAACCGGTGAGATTATGGGGAGACGTCGATTAAGCATGACTCAGTTGTCACCGAGAAGACTGCACTGATAAAGTCAGTCACCACCGATGCTGTTAATGCTTTGGCCCACAAGTTGAAAGCTTGAGGCGCTGTGTACAAAGCTGGATCTGTGTTACATAGTCGGGAGAGGATTCACGCAGTGTGTTGGGGTTGCAAGATGAAATCACCTTGCCAGGGTGTATACACAAAGGTGTGAATTTTCGCAGGTGGCACATCCAGCCAAAATTTGATATTACATTCACAGCTTCACCCACTGAAAAATGATGTCAAGCAATATCATTCAAACCGTTGTGTTGCTTTTGTTGCCAGCTGCAGGGACCTACATATCTATAAGGTCGATCTGGCACGACCGGCCACCATTTCCATGAGGACCCGCAGGCATTTTCAAGCTCTGTGGCACCCCAAGAGCTGCCAAGCAAACGTTCCATCATCGTGCGTGTGAATTTTCATCATTCTTACTAAGCCCAAGTATAAGGATTTATATAAACTATTTTATATATTCGAGATTTACAATTTTCATGCGACTCTTTTTGGCAGAGCGGATGGTGTCCATACATCCAGGAGATTTAGATTGCCGTCACCATTTCACCGCAGCATTTGCTAGAAAAAGTGGCTAGCCGTCGGCTTGATTCAGAAATAGATTTCCTAGTCAGATGTAGATTTCCTAGATGGCTCAATGTTAAACTCTGAATCCCCAGTTATTGCAAAGTGTCCACTTTCCCTGGTTTGCAAAAAAAAAATCATCGAAGCCGGTCCTGAGGTTGGGCTGGCGCAACCAGCATAGGCGCAACTGCCTGTGGCAGGTCAGGGTTCAGAACTTGAAAAAGAGACGTACCCCAGGCATGTTTTCAACAGAATCAAAAAAGATGTTTTCAGAATCCAATAGTTTGGCGCTTACATGCCGCCGCAGCCACACCGTTTTCGAAGGGGACATGTTCAACAAAGCCAAGAGATATTTCACACCAAAGCTTCGTCACTGTGTGGCATGTCTTTGCTAGTCTGTTCACTGAAGCCAGTTTAGTATCCTGCCATGTTGAATCTTGATGCTTTGCTGTGGCGACTTTCCTGTCTGCGGGTCCCCAAGGAGCCTGTATGGAGAATGTTTCCTTCTCGTGATTTTCAGTTCAAACAATGAACCCCAAAGATTTGTAATCTTGGCCTGAGAAGCTTAGAGGTAGGTTCAGCTCACAAAACATTTCTGGAGAATATATTCAATGGACCATGTTTCTTTTCACTAAAAAATTGGGGTTGCATGTCAAACCCAAAGCCCTCAGGAGTATGTCATGATTATCTTGCTGTTGTGCTGGACATTCACCATCCAGCAGGCCCGCAAGTGGGCCGAGTTCGCATGTCTTGCAGCCCTAGTGGAAAAGCCATTCAAAATCAATCTGAAGGGTCGAATCCTAGATAGTGCAAACTTCCTACTTGATTGTCCAAATCTTTATGCCATTTGTGGATTCTTCCCACGCTTCACCAGCCTTTGCCAGGACGTGGAATGGCTCGAGTACTTTGCAGGCACAGGAAACCTGACCAGGGTCATGACAGCAGCCCAGTACAAGAGTTTTCGGTTTGACATATTGGATAACAACCGTCCTGCCAATCGGCGATCTAACTTCATGGATTTGACGGAAGCCAGCGGATTTGCGTTGCTTAGTTGAAAGTTTCACATGATCATCAATATCAAGCTTTACCACAAAAATACCCTGTTTGCTTTATCAACAAAATGAATTATAGAAACATGATTATATAATATTATATATACACTTGTTGGAATCCGTATGGCAACCCAGGTTGGCAACACTATGGCTGTTACGTGCAGTGGAAGATAACTTTGCACTGCACCTTGGGTTGAAATGCAGCTCGTTCAGCAAGATGAACGTCGGAACAAGCAGCCGTTCAGCCTGCACATCGATTGGCTGGGAGAAGTTTGCTTCGGTGCTGATCGGAAACTGCTTACTAGAGAGGATTGACTGAGAACATCCTTGGGTGGTTGGATTTTTCAAGCCTGTATGTTAATTCCTTTTTTGGTGAAATACAATCCCAAACCTTTGCTATTTTCAGAAAGCACCCAAGGATAAAGCATTGAATTAAATATATCGTGACACTTATATACCCCGGTCATCCGTGTTTCAGGAGTTGCCTACTCATCTTGCTGGCGACGGCACTTGGTGGTTGCTGGAGCTTGGAGCAGCCGGGTGGGGCTTTGACAGAGTTTTATCCAACCTTCAGACACACTATCCAGTCCATCTTCCAGAATGGTGGCCCAACTGCTGTCCGGTCCTAATTGTTGGAAAGAACACGCATGATTCAATGATTGCAAGACTTTGTTTGTTGACTTGCCATGTTGGTTGGTTTATGATTTGGGCCGTTTTAGTGTTTCCAATCTCCCCACTCATAGGTGCAATGCGTTCGTTGGTGGATGGGGCATTACAATTCCAGTACCCCTAAGCGACACTACGCCTACAGCAACAGCACATCAGTCCTGAAGATTGACAAAGGTGTTCTTCAGGGATGGAAACGCAAAGGCAAGAAGAAGGTTACCACCGCAGAGCGGTATGTGGATGCCTCTGGTCGCAAAAGATATAAGGGTACTTCAAAGCTACGAGGTACGGAGACCCTTGATTTCAATTTAAGACATATATGTGGGTATATTTCTTAAAGGATGCTCGAAAATTTTGGAAATGAAGCTCTTATCATGTATTTCGAGCATCGCTCATTGTGGGAAACTCATGCATGTATATAATCGCAAGGATGCCATTGATCGAACATTTAATTGTTTGGAAAATCAACCTGTAAGACCCATGAAGCGTTGTTCGACTGCCAGCTCTGTTGCTCAGGGTGTATCCCATGCCGTTTGCCCGGGAGTTCTGCGACCTTGTGGAAGAGCTCAAGTCGAACGTGCAGGGGAAACCTCAGCTGCCCGATCCCATCCCTTCAGCTTTGGAAACCTTTCACCATGGTTTCGAGTTGGCAAACCCTGAGTTGTATCGCCAAGTGAACCTAGCAAGTGTTTACAATTATTTGAGGCGAAGCAAACAGCTTCGAATCCCTCATGATTGGCTGCCATTCATGCCAGAACAGCTATGATGAGGATTTCCCATGTCAGTGAGCGTTTGCGATAAATTTAACAACCTTCCATAATCAAACATATAGCATAGCATCGTATATGATAAGAATTTTTCGGAAAAAAAAGGGTTGGGAAAAAAACCCGTACTGAACCCGTACTAAACCCATATTTAACCCGTACCAACCCGTAAAATTCCGATGAAAAACCTGGTTTTATAGTAAAAACCTGGTTTTTCCCAACCCGTACTGAACCCAGACTAAACCCATATTTTACCCATACTAAACCCATATTTAAATATGGGGTTGGAACCACCCCTGGGAGCCTCAAATTGAGCTTGAAATTCGAAAATTTGGATTTGCATTTCGCAGTTGGAATTCCCACTGTGAGGGTAGATTAGCTCTTGTGGTGCATACTGCAGCGCGAAGACAAGAAAAATCCTTTTGAATATGTTCTGATTTTCGCTTGAGAATCTCGTCGCATTGTCGAAATTGTGAATTGACCAAATCTACAATATCGGATTCGACATCGCTTGGGCATACATCCTCCAACTGATGGCTCAAAGACATTTTAATATTAGGAGTCAAACCTGGGAACCTTGTCATGGCAGTGTCACAAAATACGCTTTATGATGGCGTTGCCTTCTTGGAGAAGTATACAGAGGAACAGCAGTTGATGAAAGAACTTCAGGACTACTATTGAATTTTTGAAGCTGCCTGTTGAAAAGTGCAAATTTGAAATGAATGAGTGGTTCTAATTGGCAGGACTTGCAGCACGAAATTGAAATGCGAGAAGCTGATCATTCTGAACCGAAAGAAAATGAGTCAGTCAAAACCTTAGACTTATCCGGCTAACCCCACACCAATCTCGTACTAGTGCTTCGCAGCAACTCAAGGTTTTGGCGAATAGCATTTCAAGTGCAGAGACCCAGCCAGCCACATCCTTGGTCAATTTCGCTGGGTTGAACACTGTGGCAGGTAAAGGTGTGCTCACAAAGGAGTTTACTTACAATTGATCAATCGGAACTATATATATGCTAAATGCCCATCATATGATAATTTTACTATGCAAAGATGCTTTCTTTATATTGTTTAAACCAGCACCGTGCGTTTTTGCAATTTCGCCCAGGCTAGTGAAGATGAACTGCGACGTGCGAAGGACCTGCAGGTTTGGGAGTTTCTTGCACACACACACACCGTCATAGCTCCTCACCATTCAGACTAATTATTTAATGTCATGTTGAAATGCATCATAGTTTGCTCAGGATAAAGATGCCAATGTTGGCACTGGAAATCAAGATCCACCAGTCCCGACACCAGTCCGGAGTGAGAAGGAGATCCCAAAGGTTGTGCCGTTGCAGAATGATGCCATGGTTCCTACCACTCCCCGGCCGATGGAGCCTCCCGTCACTCCATCTCCATCGGTTCTGTCCAAGGATCCATCTGAGCAGGCCATCGATACACCGCAAGCAGCGGAGGAGGATGGTGAGCACCTGACACGGAAGGTGGCTTTGGTCAGGTTTGTTAGAGATTCCCAACTATATATAATCTAAATTCAAGAGAACCAAAAAAGTGGAATATCACTTGTGTGACCCATGTACATGCATTAGATTGATCTAACATGCCGATGGTCATGCTCTGCACCAGGCGAAGCTTCGCAATGCGGCAAAGGCGCGTCTCATCCGGTGGGTCAGACCTAAGTCAAGGCGGAAGGACTTGGAGGCCCCGGACTTTGTCAAGGAGCAATGGTTAAATGGGAACAAGAACGCAATGGGTGACCTATTTGCAAAGGTCAACTTTCAGCAGGAGATAGAGTCCAAAACATGTCCAAACCCATATATGTTAATTTCTATATCATTATGTTCGTTCCAGTATATTTATGAGATATATAAGTTCAATTTCCGTATCTGTTCAAGATGGCAGCTCGTCATTTAAAAAAGGCAAGCCCATATAAAGCAATCGATCTACTGCAGGACGTCTTTGTGAACCAATTGACGATCCTGGTGAAAAAACGCCAGATGGTTGAGATCAATGTCGAGGAGGGATGGTTCTCGGAACAGGAACTCAAGCAAGACTTGAATTGGTCTACGTACTAAACTCAATCTGTGTTTCACTTTGCGAAGCATAATCTCAGTAAACCAATTATCCCATGCCATCTTTCCAACATCCGCTGCCCAGGCAAAAGATCCAGGGTGCCATCAAGCGTTGCAAAGCGCTTGGAGAAGGTCACTACAGGCGACACTGTTTCGTTGTCCCACCTGCAGGCCACGTGAACTATATTCTAATGCTGTAGCATGTGGAACCCCGTTTTGACACCAACATTGATGCCATCACCCATCATGTTAAATGTTGTATGTTTTGGTGAGAGTCGTGCCCTTTAGGATAAACATCCTTTGCTGACCTTGACCCTCATGCATGCATGTTGCGTCGCTGCAATGCAGACACAACATTTACGATGGAGCTGAAGAGTTCTGGGTGGTCACTCGCGAGAGTGGAAAGCGCTCTGAGCAACAGTCTCTCGAAGAGATTCACACCAAGCAGCAAAAGGCCTGCTATCCATACGTTTTTCATGCCCAATTCATTGACACATACCCAAGGTTATATTTATAAATATAACTTTCTACTTTCTACTTTCTACTTCTAACTTTCTTTCATATACTGCATCATTTCCTATATATATATATAATCCCTTACTGTATGTATATATCCCTTACTGTATACTGTATATTTCCCTTACCTATATATATACCTTATATTTATCCCTTAATCTCCTTCAGGCCGAAGGTGAGCCAGAGTTCAAGTTTGGTGGATCATTCACCAGTGCTGGCGATGCTGCCAAACGTCAAGAAGCTGAAATCAAGATGGTCAAAGACTTGGGACCTACCACTGAGACAAAGTATGGGCAGGCTGGATAACAATGTAAGACAATTAAACATCACAATGTTGCGACCCTTTTTGATTCGGAACTCCTGCTTGCCCCCTGCTAGACCAAAGACCGATTTAAGAAATTTATGGAGTCCATCCTGCAGAAGTCTGGAAAGATTCGAAGCTTGATGAAAGAGCTTAAAACAAAGTACGATGGCGATGATGGAGCCAAACAGCTTTTCCCTCAGCCCTTTGCAGTCAACACACCATTGATAATCACAAGTCCATGCGCCCAATGACCCACTTGCCTAGGTGCACCGATGCCCTCAAGAAGGAAGTCACCAACCTGGACAATCAGCACGATCGTTTGCAGGAAGTGTGGACCAATGGGGAGGCTCAAGGATTCATGACAGAGAAGCTACTTGTCAATATATATATATATACAATTTGACATTCGAATCTGTGTCGATCCTATGATAGTATGACATGCGAATCTGATTGTTTGACATGTGTCGATCCCATCTTTTCCAAGATTGTACAGGTGCATGTGATAATTTGCAGATACCGACCATATACTTTACCTGCAGGTTTTACAACGACGCTGAGAAGGCGATGGCCACAGCAACGTTGGCGTAAGGAACCCAAGTTGAGTGTCGAGTTTATATTTTCCATCGAGGATCCAATGCAATACCAATCCCAGCATTCCAGAACCCCAAAGCTCTTTGAAATATAGATTTACTTGTCCCTTCTCACTGCCCAAACTTGGCCAAGGTGCTCCAAAGCTGTTGCGGCGGAGATGAAAACGAGGCGTGGTGCAGCCTCAAAGGATTGTGGCATCTTTTCAATCCAAAGGGGAGTGCCGTTTCAAGTTACCTGAAATTAAAAATTCGCGTGTGGGATTTCATGTTGGACTCCAGAATCATAACATGCCAGCCTTTGATCTAGAACATAAAAAATGTTAAATAACATGAGCCTGCATCGATGGCAGGAACCAGAAGAAATACTTTGACAAGGCAGAGGACGCCCAGGTCAAACGTGATGACGATAGGAAGAAGAAGAAACATAAGACAGATGATGATGACAATGATGAGAAGAAGAAGAGCAAGAAGGATTCTAGGAAGTCTGAACAAGATGCTGAGAACAAGCCGGGCAAACGCCCACGCAAGCAAAAGTAAAATGTTTGAATCTTTCTGGCGTAGAGAGAACACTTGAGGCGGCGTGTTGCTCCATAGGCATGGTCTTCTTGTGACAAAACACTCACTTGAACCCGCAATCAACTTTTTTTACGCATCGAGTTGTTGATGCATACTGCTTCAGACCTGAAGGGGCTAATGAACACGCAGTTTGGCCTAACCTCTGTGGGTTAGATTGCTGCGGCAAGGCAGCAATCCTTTTGGATGTTCCCGAAGCAATGACCGCACGGGACATGGGGTGTTCATGTGAGACAAAAAAAAGTGTGTTGAAACACGCGCTACCACTGCTACCACTTGTCAACTCTTCGCTTTGCATTCAATGAACAAACTCAGAGATTTACACAAGGTTTTTTTTCACATAAACCACGACCTGGCCAGGTCCAAAACCAGGGAACGCTGTGAGAGGCTTCGCACAACGCATTGGTGATGGCGTACGGGCACCCAACGTTTGTGGGCCAACCATGCATGCTATGTTGATCCGTGCTATTAAGGCATATAGTTTATAATATATATTATATATTATTTAATACATGCATGCATGTGTATATATATGCAGTATATCTAATTTCCAAAAGCCGTTTCAAACCCATGTGGGTTGACTATTCCAGTGTTATGTGCCGAAGCCTGCATGTGTGTTCAAGTTGCTCAAAGTGAATGCTTTGTTTTAGGACTTAGGAGGCACTATGCCATGTCATGAACGATGAAACTGCATTCGAAGAGCTGTTGGACCTTTTTACCTGTCACCGAGATGTCCCTTGGCAAAATGCGGGAGGATGTATGTATAACGATATGTTTGTCATGTTCTGTTTAAACAGCATTTTGACAATTCAAGATTTTTTTATGGACAATAAATCAAAAGATTTCGTTTCCATACCCCCATGCCACCATGGCCCATACTATGTTGCCAATGCAGGACAGCTTGAGACCCTTTCCGTGGCCAAGAAGCAGGAATTCAAAACGTCTTTG